AAAAAATTGAAGAGTTACCGCAAACTGACGAAACCACAACTCCCGTTCCTCGTGAGGGATCACACTCCACTTCGGATATCCGGTACGGAGCATGGAATACATCATATTGTTGATGCTCCTACTAATGCCATTGCTCGACTTGTCAAACCTTTAAAAAAATACATGTTAGAAAGTTAATTAATGTTAAAAACATAATTTTACAAATAAAATAAAAATACTGACCAAGTCGTACGTCCCGGCAACAAGTTTCTGAACCTCGTAGTATGAACCCGGTGCAAGATTATCCTCCGGTAGAATACCTTTGATAAAATCAGTAATCGCATCCACACATTCTTCAGCTAAATTATAGTCTGTCTTGATACCCATCAATCTAGTTGCAGAAGATAAGGGTGAATGACCATCTCTACAACCTTTATACAAAGGTTGTTTACCTGCATCCAACATGTTAAAAAATCTCCTAGATTCGGGGTTTGGTTCTTCTTCCCCTCTATAATGATCATGTACCNNNNGAGGTTTATCCATCCACGAACGATGATAAACTCCTGAAGACATGATTTTCAAGAAATTGTTGTGCTTAGAGAGAGTAAAGAGAGAGTGAGGAGTGAATGAGTTGAATGAGGAGAGGCTGAATTTATAGAACTTGCTTACGGCAATCTGACGACATTCCGACGGAATTCTGACGCCTAACGGTTATCTCCGTCGGAATTCCGTCGGTATATTCTGACCTTCGGCAACGGTCAAAAGGTTCGTCGGAATTTCGTCGGAATATACTGATGACTTTCCGACGACTACAACGGTTATATAAATAATCGGAATGTCGTCGGAATTCCGTCAGTATATTCCGACGAACCTCGTCTTGTCAGAAAGTCGTCGGTTTTGTGTGACGAAATTCCGACGAAATTGTATTTTTGCAATTCGTCGGAATGTCGTCAGAAATCCGTCAAAATTGTCTGACGCCTTAAGCGTCCGTCGGAACCTCCGTCGGAATAGACAGTGTTTTCTTGTAGTGCGAGTAAATCCTCGATTTTTTGTTAAATCGCTAGGCGTGAATCGGTCGCCTGATTAGCACCTAGCGTAGTTTGGAACAAGGTTAGAGATATGTTAGAACATAATTGTTAATGGTTATGTGAGAAACCACCATCGTCATCAGTGATATGTTTGAAATTGTTATTATCAACGATGATAAATTTGTTTTAAAACAAATCTGGTAATTATTTTTTTTTTTTGAATTTTCTATTTTTTTTTAAAAAAAATTGGGCGTTTTCTTTAATTTCTTTTTAATTTTATGAATATTCATTTAATTTTCTGTATTTTAATATAACATTATTTTTAAATATATATTGATTTTTTTATATTTTAATTTATTCAGTTTTTTTTAAAAAAATTATTTAATTTTCAGAATATTTTTTTTGGGAAACTTTTATTTTATTACGTGAATTTTTATTTTTATTTTAATTTTCTGATTTCATATTTCTTCTTTGATTTTAATATAATTTTTATTTATTTTATAAATTATATAATTATTATTTTGAAAAAAACTGACACATCATCACATTAACTTGCTGTACAGGTTAGTTTTATAACAAGTAAGTCAAGTTAAAAAATTTTAATGACACAAATGTCATTCTGAAAATTTAAAATGTTGGTCAATAAAGTCATGGTTTAAAGTGTCAGTACGTGTCAACCTATAAACTGTATTGACATTTTTAAAGTATTCTAGGAATGTGATAGAGTTATAAAAAGCAAACCGAATTTATACAATTTTGTTTTTCTACATTTATATATTTTTCTTATCGACTATGTTAGATATGTCAGACACTCAATTACACAATAAAATAACACTTAGATTTCAATTGGTTTCCCAGTTTGCAGATAACTTTTTCAAAGTAACCATACTAGTCAGTGGAGAAACTAGGAAAAAATCCACACTAGAATAAAAAACTTGTGTCCATAAAATTGACTACCTGATAAGGGGTCAAATTACTGAAATTCAACCAATTAATCAAGGAATATTAAGATTTTGATAAAATAAAAATTTCTAAGACTAATACAATTTTACGATTTTGGCGAACAAAAAATTAAAAAAATTTTGGTTTTCGCTGGAAACATGTTTTAGCGATTTTAGAAGAAAAACATAATATTAAGATTTTGCGTGAACATAACTTCAAAATTTGACGGAGAAATAATATGTAAAGTTCTTGCTAAAAACCACAATTATAATTTTTTGGCTAAAAATGTATTTGCATTTTTTTCCAGAATAATACGATATATGCTCTTGCGAGAAAGTACAATTTTGTAATTTTTGTTGGAAAATTTTAATTTTGGATTCTGGCGGATAACTCAATTTTCGGCTTTGACAGAAAATGTGATCTTCTTTTTTTTCTAATACATTTTATTTTAGTTTAGTTTATATTGCTTATAAAATTTATTGGTATAGTTCTGAATAACTAACTGTCGATTCCAATCCAACTTATTTTAACCCAGTCCACTAAATCTATTAATCTATCTGACCTATTAATTCATTTGTGCCAAATATTATCCAAATTATTTGAGTTGGGTAAGATTTACCCATGCACTTTTATTCATTTTGACCCCTCTACTCTTACTATAAATATTTTCAAGATAATTAGTAAAATAGTATTTTTATTAAATATAAACTTATTAGAAACAAGTATATATATTCAGAGAAAAAGACATAAAAGTTAAAAGTTTTGATTTTATAATTGTTAAAATTATAAAATACAACTGAAAGAGATACTACACAATTTTAAAATATAATTCACCCTAATAATTATAACTTATACCACTGTATTTAATAATTATTATATAATTAACTATAAATCAATTATTTTGTTATTTTATTCTCTAACCAAATTTATCATTATTTTTAATCAAATTTATCATTATTCTCTAACCGAAATATTCTCTAATCAACTTTTACAATAAAACTAAACAGATTTGTTTAAAATGTGACATAAAAAATTTAAATATTAAATATTCATGAATATTATTATTTCATTTCACATAAAAAATATAAACTATAATTTTTTTATTAAAACATATAGAGTTATTTTAAAATAAATGTTAAACAATTTGGTGATTAATAGTAGTCACACATATATATTTGAATTATAAGAATATAATAACTAAATTTTAATTTAATATTTTCCTCAAAAACAAACATAGAAGGAAATTTATTTGGCTGATAAAAAACTTAAATACATATCTATCTATTTTATTAAAATCAAAGTGAATTTTGTTTGACATAAAATATTTTTATTTGAATTATAAGAATATAATAACTAAATTTTAATTTAATATTTTCCTCAAAAAAAAACCGAAGTAAATTTATATATGTTTTTCTTTTGGTAATCATGTTAAAGAAAAATTATATATGTTTATCCTGTTAAAATAAACATACATCTGTGTAGGTGGATGGGTCAAGTTCTAATTATAAAATAAATGTGGGGATATGTATAATGGAGTTTATCTCATGGGGAGTCAACAATCAAAGAAGGTAATACGTATTTATTATAAACCCATCTTCTCTAACTCACTCCCACGTAACTTCGAGTAGAAACAAAACCTGAAAACGTTTTTCTCCACAACTCTAACAAAAGAAACCACACTAACTTTTTGTTTTCTTCTTTAGATTTTCCCAGAGACATTCTCCATGAAAGCCAAAGCTTTTATCCCTGCGGTTTCATTGCTCTGTTTTTGGGTGCTGTTGGGTTTAGGGACATCGAAATTCTTGCAGAGTGAAAATAAAGGTAGTGAGTTGAGGGGATACATAAGCTGGGAAGACTTGACAGTTGCGAAAAATGTCGTAAGGGGAAGCCAAGAATATCTGACGCCCTCAAAGGCTGGAGATGCGAGCAGAGTGATCGTGGTAGATAAGAATGGAAGACGAGACTCTGTTACAATTCAAGGAGCTGTTGATATGGTTCCTCATAACAATTCACAGAGAGTTAAAATCTATATTCCTCCTGGGATTTACAGGTAAGTCAAAGCCTCTGAATAAAGACATAACCCATGTTTTTATCTAACTGGTCTTGATAAACAACGTCTCTGAGATTGTGGAGTCTTTTTAAGAAGTAGAAGACTATAAATGTTTTATTAACATTAATCAGTTGTAGCTTGATTCTTGAGTTAGTGAGATAATCTTACAAATCAACTACGTAGGTGATTTTCGTAATACAACTATATATCTCTCCTCTATCATGCATCTCTCTACCAACTAGTGAGATTCCATAGGTGATTTTCGTATCTATTCTTTTAGTGAGATAATCTTAATCAGTTGTAGCTAGATTCCATAGGTGATTTTCGTATCTACGTCATACTCTATCTACGTCATACTCTCGCTGTAACTAGTGACTTAAAAAATGAATAAAAGGAATAATTATTTATGAAGTTTAATGGTATGGAATCAGCATCCCAGTTGTTCTAAATCTATTCTTTTATGTAAAATGATTTTTTAATGATTTTTTTTTCTGGAATAATATGAAATGAAATAATTTTTTTTCTCTATTTTTTTTCTTAAAAAAAAACTGGTGAACCTTTAGAGAAATGCAAACAAATTAATTCTTTTGAAGATTTTGCACCCTCTGTTGTTTTTGTGTTATTTTTTAAAACGTTATGGTATTGGTCTGTTGCAGGGAGAAGGTGATTGTGCCGATCACAAAACCGTACATTTCGTTCATAGGTAATCAGAAGTACGTGGGAGCGACAGTCATCAGTTGGAGCGATAAAGCTTCAGACCGTTATGCCAATGGTACTGAAGTCGGCACTTTCAGAACAGCCACTGTTCGAGTAGACGCCGACTTCTTCTGCGCCACTGCCATCACTTTCGAGGTCTTAATTAATATACCAATGCGTGTTTTCTTGTTCGAATTATGTATAGTTTTAAATTTATTTATCTGATTTTTTCCGGAATGAGTGCAGAACACTATAGTGGCAGTGCCGGGAGAGGAAGGGCAGCAAGCTGCGGCCTTGAGGATAACAGGGGACAAAGCAATGTTCTACAGAGTAAGTTTTGTGGGATCACAAGACACTCTTAATGATGAAAGTGGATCTCATTACTTCTACAAATGCCATATCGAAGGAACAGTTGACTTCATCTTTGGCACCGGCAGGTCGCTGTACCAGGCAAATAACCCCTTTTTCCACTTGTCCCTTTCTTTAACCCTTTTGTATTTTTAAAAAAAAATGATCTTACGCACGTTTTGTGTGTTTGGTGATAAACCTTCAGAACTGTGATATCCGCTCAACCTCAAAGAAGTTTGGAAGCATCGCGGCTCACCATAGAGACCACGAGAATGACGATACTGGTTTCTCGTTTTTGAATTGTAACATCGGTGGAACAGGGAAGGTTGTCCTGGGAAGAGCTTGGGGAGCCTACTCGAGAATTATTTATTCAAAATGTTACATAGATGATGTCATCACTCCTGCTGGCTGGGATGACTGGAAAGACACTGCCAGGCAAAGGTAACACTAAAAAAGGATCTTGAAACTGAAAACTTATCTGAAAAAAAAACAAAAAACACAAAGACGAATTCTTGTTTTTCTTTTCTTTGCAGTAAGGTGCAATTCGGAGAGTATAATTGCAGGGGAAAAGGAGCAGAGAGAAGGGGTCGAGTACCGTGGTCAAAGAGTCTTACTCGAGATGAAGTAAAGCCTTTTCTTGGGATAAAGTTCATATATGGAGATAAATGGCTGAGACTCAACACTAATAAAATAAATCACACAATGGTCCATTCATTTAGCAGCTAAGATGAGATGATGACCTAATTATATTTTTAAACATTTGAAATCTATTCTAATAAAGTATTATCTCTTCCCATTCCTTCACTTCTCTTCTCCCTAAACACATTGCTACGGTCATCTTTTGCCTTTCTATGTTTTTAATGTTTACTCGGAGTGGGCTGACATATAAATTAGCCTAAGGACATCTACGTGCCTTTAGATTCACAGTTGCCCGCGCTTACCTCAACGTGGAGAAAAAAGCATGTTTACTTGTAGAATTTTAGTCAAAAATTTTACATGATCCACATTCGAATGGTTTGCTGGCTTAAAAGGAACTCCTATAGATAATTTTCACTGAGTTGGCAACCGCCTTCCTAAAACATTATTCTGTCTTCATAGAAGAAAAAATGTAAGATGAAGCCCTTTTCTTTGGAATACAAGGGCACAAAGAGACACTTTTATCCTATGTAGACAAGTTTAAAGAAGTGAAATCTCGTGACAGCACGGTCCTTACACTGTCACAGCATATTCTCTCAAACCTTATCTTTTAACGTCTCTTTTGGTTTAGTAACAAACTCTGGTTTGCATATCGGTTAAGGGTCAAATGTTAGACCAATTACAGCTATTCTCCTTTAAGTACAATCTGTCCTCTTTCTAAAAACGTTATCAATAAAACAATATTATCCTCTCTCTCTCTAAACTCTCTTACGCCATTACTATCATCATCTGAATCTGATACTTCAAGGTGAGCTTTTCTTCCTTTATAATCTTCCGGTCCTGATTTGTATCTCTCTCTAGTTTCTCGGTGATTCTACAGAAAGATAACCTTTTATCCCTTTTCCTGTCTCATTTTTGGTATCAGAGCATTTTCGAATCCTCAGATCTAGCCATGGTTGAGACACGAAACCAAGAAAAAACGGTGCTTGAAATGATTGAAGAGATACACAATGGACAGGAGAGCCAAACCCAGGAGTTCCGTCAACGCTCTGACTCTCTTGACGAGCGCTACAACAAGCTGGAATGATTGGTTTTGACCATATCTCCCACCTTCAAGCATCAGGAAAACAAGCCTACACAGATGCCGGAGGCTCTCAGATGATGGATCCCGCGTCAGCCGAGTCAACCCGACCACCAGAACCACATGACCTCCATGGCTCTCATCCTCGACCTAACAGAGATACACATAACCAAGCTCACAACATCCTCTCGGGTCGTCTGACCAAAGTGGGTTTCCCCATTTTTGATGGAACAGAACTCCGCGACTGGATCTAGCAATGTGAGCAATTTTTCGACCTTGATAATACCTCACCGGAGCTCAAGGTTCGACTCGCTGCGATGCATCTTCGAGGAAGAGCTTTACAATGGCACCGTACCTTCATGACTAAACGGTTCAGGATTATCCCTTCCTGGTCCGACTACATCATCTGTCTCTCGTCGTTTCAGTGAACTCTTTGACGACCCCCTAGCAGATCTGGTAGCTCTCCATCAAGGTTCCGACTCTATCATTGTTTTCCTTGATAAGTTCGAAAACATCAGAACCCGCTTAACCCTACCCAAAACCCACGCCCTAAGTATCTTCCTTACCAACATGAACACCCACCTAGCCCTCCACGTCCGTCAGTTTGAAGTCACTACTGTCTCTGCAGCAGCAAAGATTGCTAGTCTCCATGAATCATCCCTAGCCCATACCCCACCCAAATACCAACGAGCTCCCTTCAACCCAACCACTCAGAAACAAACCCCAAACACAACTCCCAAACAAACCACCCCCACTACACCTATCCTACCCAACACCCAAACCAAACCATCCTTCATCCCCCGTAGTTCCAACGATAGACCTGCTAGAAAGTTCAGCTATCAAGAGATGCAAGACCGTTGCTCCAAAGGTCTCTGTATGTTATGTGATGAAACTTTTACCCCCGGGCACCAGCTTAAACACAAACGATCTCAGATTTTCGTGATGGAAGGTGACGATGATGAGGCTGAGAGTATTGGATGTCGAAGTTGCTGAGCTCTTGTTGGAACAGAACCTCGAAGCAACTACTACGGAACCGACCCCAACCATTTCAGTCAACGCTCTGAGTGGCTCTACAACGTTTAACTGCATGAGGGTGATTGGCCAATATGGTAAACGCAAGCTCTTCATTTTGATTGACCCTGGCATCACACACAACTTCATTGATGTCAAGGTTGCAAACGAGTTAGGGTGTCGCCTCGAAGCTTTCAGTCCCATGACTGTAGCCGCTGCAAATGGAAATAACTTGGTGACTAACTCCAAATGCAGCAACTTCACTTGGACGGTTCAAGGTTACACCTTTACCTCGGAGATACGTACACTCCCCCTTGACTGTTGCGAGTTCGTACTAGGAGTGCAGTGGTTATGCACTTTAGGACCCATACTATGGGACTTCCTAAACCTGCGTATGGAGTTCACTTTCAATGGTATCAGACACTACCTCCGCGGTGTTACCAAAGCTGGGTGCAAACTCATAAAAGGAGCCAGCTTGAATAAGCTCATGCTCCAGGAACCTCAGATTGCAATGCTTCAAATGAGGGAAGTTACTGAGAGCCACCCCTCACTCCCACCATTGTCTCCTGAGTCACTCTTCTGCCATATCGCAGCCCCACAGAGTGCACGCTCACACGATCCCTCCTTACAACAACTACTGGAGCTGTTTTCCGATGTCTTTGCTGAACCGGCCGGTCTTCCACCTTCTCGTGAAGGCTTTGACCATCAGATTTCGCTAAAAACGGGTTCTAATCCAGTCAACCTACGTCCATACCGATACTCCTCCCTGCAGAAAGATGCTATTGACGAGTTGTTGAAAGGAATGTTGCAGCAAGGTATAATACAATGCAGTACGAGTCCTTACGCTTCACCCATTGTGCTGGTCAAGAAAAAAGACGGCTCTTGGCGCCTCTGCGTTGATCATAGAAGGCTCAACAACCAAACTGTTAAAGACAAATACCCTTACTCGAAGACCTCCTGGATGAGCTTGGTGGCGCAGTGTACTTTTCTAAACTTGATCTCCGCGCAGGCTTTCACCAACTCAGAATGTCTCCTGATGATGTGTACAAGAATGCTTTTAAGTCTCAAGTGGGCCACTACGAGTATTTGGTTATGCCTTTCGGCCTCTCCAATGCCCCTTGTACATTTCAGAGCCTCATGAATCATGTCTTTCAAGACATTTCTAGGAAGTTCCTTCTGGGTTTCTTCGAGGATATCCTGGTCTATAGTCCAGATTGGGAGAGCCACCTCCAACACCTGCTTGAAGTATTTTCAATCCTTCGACAACAACACCTCTACCTCAAAGCATCTAAATGCACGTTTGGAGCTACGGTGATAGAGTACTTGGGGAACTTCATCTCCGTAGATGGTGTGAGTACAGACCCTGCAAAAATAGAAGCTATCAAGCAATGGCCTACTCCGACATCAGTTAAACAGCTAAGGAGCTTTCTAGGTCTTGCAAACTATTACTGTCGTTTCATCAAAGGGTACAGCCTTCTGTCTCGTCCTCTCACATCTCTGTTACAGAAAGACGGGTTCATGTGGAACCATGAGTCAGAAAAAGCCTTTGAAAACCTTAAAACGGCTCTCACCACCACTCTGGTGCTGGCACTCCCTGACTTTGAGAAGACCTTTGTTGTCGAGACTGACGCTAGCAACATCGGAATCGGGGCTGTCCTAATGCAGGAAAAGCACCCCATCTGTTTCATCAGCCGAGCTCTCGGCCCGCGACACCAAGCTCTGTCTGTTTACGAGAAAGAACTCATGGCTGTGGTACACGCAGTGCAGGCGTGGAACACCTACTTAGCTCACAGGAATTTCATCATCAAAACTGATAAAAAAGCCTCAAGTATATGGTGGAGCAGAAAGTTACTACTCCTTTCCAACACATGTGGCTCTCCAAATTGATGGGATATGACTTCGAGATTCAATACAAGCAAGGGAAAGAGAACGTGGCTGCAGATGCTCTTTCCAGAGTTTCATGCTCTCAATTACTACACATTACACTGTCTCAGGCACATCAAGGTTTCTACGACTCTCTACGTTTGCTATGGCACAGTGATCCTAAGTTGAGCAAACTGATCTCTGAAATACAGGCTGACCCTAAGTCCCACCCTTCTTACTCCTTCGTCAACAATGAACTCAAACGCAAAGGGAAGTTAGTTGTGGGAGAAGACGCTGGGGTAAAGACACACATTCTCCGTTGGCTCCATGATTCTGCGGTTGGAGGTCACTCAGGAAGAGACGCCACTCTTCACAGAATCAAATATTGTTCTTTTGGCCGAAAATGAGTCTTGAGGTGCAGAACTACATGCGTAATTGCGATGTGTGTCAGAAAAACAAGTATGAAAACGTTGCTAAGCCGGGCCTGTTAAACCCTTTGCCGGTTCCTCAAGGAGTTTGGGAATCAGTGAGCTTAGACTTCATCGAGGGACTGCCTCAATCAGCTTGTAAACACTGCATCCTCGTGGTTATTGACAGACTGAGCAAGCAGGCTAACTTCATCGCTTTATCCCACCCCTACACTGCGATTGAAGTGGCTCAAGTCTACTTGGATAACGTGTTTAAGCTGCACGGCCTCCCCAAAGATATCATCAGTGATCGCGACCCAACGTTTCTCAGTGAGGTTTGGAAATAATTTTTCTGTGTACATGGTGTTGATCTGCGCTATTCAACTGCTTATCACCCCCAAACCGATGGGCAGACAGAAATAACCAACAAGACCTTGGAGACTTATTTGCGTTGTATGACTGTAGAAGCACCCCACATGTGGAGCAAATGGCTTCCTCTAGCAGAATGGTGGTATAATACTACCTTCCACTCTTCTATCAAGAGCACACCATTCGAAGTTGTCTATGGACAGCCTCCCCCGGTTTATTTCCCATACCTCCCCGGCGAGAGAAAATCTACTTTGGTTGATAGGAGTCTACTCTAGTTTCTCGGTGATTCTACAGAAAGATAACCTTTTATCCCTTTTCTTGTCTCATACACCGTGAAAATGAAGTCTAGTTAGTTCATT